AACTAATAATGTAATCTTTTTTTACATCAGCAAGGTGTTCCGTGTCCATTTTATATCTTTTATATTCAAGGGCAGCATTCTATGTCACAAATGAACATGATCCGAAAAAGGAAAGCATACTTTTAATGAGTTGATATTCTGGTCCTAAAATACACTACAAAAATAATAAAATAAATATTTAAAATGCACTGTGCTAAAAGAAGCACAGTAAATATTCTCTCCTACCTTGTACATATACTGGAGAAATTGCTGTGTTGATTTCTTAATAAGTGTAGGGTGTTATGCCATATAAATTTCGGGATTTTATTATGAAGTAAGAAGTCCAATATTCCTTAATATCAACTTCACTTTAGCCCAGTAAAGCTTAAGAAGGAAATTGGCCTTGTTCACGGTCAGGACAACGCTGCCCAGACTTGGTGCATTTAAACTCCAAGCTCTGCATGTCAGTTGGTAACCGGCAGAGCACAGGGCTGTCCGGCTGGATCAGAAACGCGGTTCTGTTCTCTCTGGGGATGTGGGCTGTGGGGCATTGCCTCTACCAGTGCTCTGCCCCTGGCTCCCTCTCCACTCCCCTCTGGGGAGTGGAGGCTCCCATTTGGCACAAGTTAGAAACCTTCGTAGTTTTAATTGGAACCATAGCTATGTACTAAATCTAAAGATACTAAACTTCAAATCTTTAAAACACATTTTCGGCCCTCCCTGGTGGAGCAGAGGTTAAAGCACAGCACTAAGAAGCTACAGCCACTTCAGCATGAGCTTGATCCCCACCCTGGAGGTGACCACATGGCTTGGCAGACCTCTCCTGACCCGCCCGCTGCTCCCCGCAGCAGTGTATTTCCTAGATCTGCCTGTTCTGCTCCCCTCTCTGTGAATCCTTTCACCCCCCTCAACTCTGGTCTGTACACCAGTTCTGCATGAATAAATAAATAAAATCTTTCAAAAAATTCTGGGTGATAATTCATAAGCTCTACCCTGCTGGCACATTCAAGTCCACAATAGTCTTACTAGTTTAGTCACCACACTGCACGAGAGTCCCAGATCTTACTCCCCTGATAACTACTGGCTTGTACCCATTGACCAACATCTTCTCCCCCAACCACATTATTTGTCTCAATTATAAGTGATGCCACTTAGTACTTGTCTTCTATATCTGGCTTATTTCTCTTAGTTCATGAGTTCACCTTGTTGTTTATTTCTCCAAGTTCACCCATTTTGTCATGCACGGGTGGGTTTCTTTCTCTGTAGCTTATTCATTCAGCAGAGCATATACCCCATTGTCTTTATCCTTTCATCATGTGTTGATGGTTTGTGTCCATCTCTTGGCTCTTAGAATAATATCACAACATAGGAGTTTGGTATTTTCCTAACAGTTTGATGGTTCACTTCGTTTGAATATCTACTCAAAGCCTCTTCCACAAGGTGACAATAATATTGAGCGTTTTTGTGGTGAATAAAAGAAGAAGATGAATTAAACAGGTTAAGAAAAGAATTAATGTTAACTATAAGTATTTTTGTGGTACATCATTGGTCACTGATTTTACTCTCTGGTTTGATCTGAGTCATCAACCTCTGAGCAGAGTGGTTTCTCAAGAAGAGAAGACAGGAGTTTGACCGAATGTTGTTGAAATCTATTGTTCTTGGTTCAACCCAAAGGTCTTCTTATTGAAACCAATACAGCTAATATGGTTTCTCTGCAATGATTACCTTGCCCCTGTATACAATGGCTCCTGCAAAGTCAACTTTTGCATTCAAAATATATCAGCTTT